ATTGGAACCCAGAGAACTCATCCATAATTAAAGAAGAGAAAGAAACTGCATGGGCACTGATGTGAGCAGGCGTAGATGTTGGTGAGAAAAGCAATTATAAGAGAAGCTAACCTCCCCCTAATTTCCTGCTGCAAATCAAAAGCAAGGTCATTGGGGAGCGTCTCCGGCTCCCTCTCAGGGAAGCCAGCTGCCATGTTGTAAGGTATTCTATGGAGAAATCCACAGACAAGGAATTGAAGGAGACCTGCAGTCCCAGCCTGGGAAGAACCTTGTGAAAGACCTTAAGGCAAGTGGCCCCAGCTAATCTGCTCCTAGATTCCTGACCCACAGGGCCTGTGAGATGATAAATGATTGTTGTTAGAAGCCACTAAACTCGGGGTAGCTTATTATATAGCATAGAGAACCAAGGCAGGTATTGGTACCTGGAAATGGGATGCTGTCATAGAAATAAACCTGCAGAGACACCTGGGTGGCTCAGCGGTTGAGCTTGAGCGTCTGCCTTTGGCTCAGGGCATGATCCCGGGGTTCCAGGATCGAGTTCCACATCGAGCTCCCTGCGTGGAGCCTGTTCCTCCCTCTGCCTGTGTCTCTGTCTCTCTCTGTTTGTGTCTCTCATGAATAAGTAAATAAAATCTTAAAAAAAAATACACCTGCAAAAGTGGAAGTGGCCTTAGAGTCTGGTGACGACAGAAGCTGGAACAATTGGAGAAGCATGATAAAGAAAGCCTCAACTGCCTTGAATAGACTGTGAGTGGAAATGTGGAGTTTGAGGACACTGCCAGTGAGGGCACACAAGCAAGTGAGGAACACAGACTGGATCTTAGAGGAAAGAGAGTCTTACATAATGGCAGAAAGCTAAGCCACACATCTACAGTTCCCTGGGCAGCAGGAAGTATATCTCCCGAACTGGTGGATCTGCTGCAGCAGACTGCCAAGCAGGTGGTGAAGGTGCCCCTTGTTTTCTTCTTGCCACAAGAAGAGATAGACCACTGAGCAAAGGACTGTCAAACAAAAGAAAACACGTCTTGAGAGATGCCCAGCCTCTCCAGATGGCGAAGATGGCACCTCTAGGAAATGGCTCCCAAGCAAAGATCAAAGAGAAGGCAAAGAAGGGCTTATCTCTAAAAGATCTGTGGGCTTTTATCTAAAGGGGTAAACTCCCATGAGATTCACAGGAGGCTGTGTTGTCTTGTGAGAGAACGTGGCTAGTTCAGACTGAATGGGTACAGAATGAATCGAAGCCACTGGACTCCCAAAATTGTGCTGATGGAAGCATGCTGAGAACTCCTGCTCCTCCCCCTCCCCCTGCTGCAGCAGAGATACCTCTGTCTTTCATGAAAAAGAAACTCAGGAGACAGAGCCGAGAAACATGAAGAATTATTTCTGAGGGTGAGGTAATAGAGGGAATAAGCCTAAGGTGAGGAAGAGGGGGAGATGGTCAAAGAGTAGGATCCCTGAAACTGAAATTACAGACAGCATTCTTACCAGTAGTGACAAGGTCTAGAAGAGGGCCATGAAAATGGGTGAACTAGGCAGAGTGAAGAAACAAGAACAAGGAAAGTAAAGCCTTCAAGAAATTGAAGATCATCCATATGGATGATATGCGGAGGGGGTAATAGTAAAGAGACAAAGTAAACTAGATGTTAGCAGTTACAAGAGTGCAAACTCCTTGGATGACTCTTATTCATCCACCTTGATTTCTCACCATTCCCCAGCTTTATAACCCAAGCATACTTAATTTTTTATATCCTCAAATGTCCAGATATGACTGTGGGACTTTGCAAATACTCCTCACTCAACCTGGCTCATTCCCTGTCCCCTTGTAATCCAGGCAGATACTTCTAATACTCTGTATATGTTTTCACAAGTCTCTATGTTTATTATATCACAGCATTTTCAAACTTTGTTATATTCTTTGTCTTTACTGTTAATTCCAGGAGGACAAGGGCTGTGTCTGAGTGGTTCAGCATGGTTCCCCATACTCAGCTCAGAGGCTGGTACACACAGGAGACATCTCACAAAGGAAGAAAAGGATTTCTCTTCCAGGTCAAAGATAAAATGCCCTAAAGCAGTTCCAAAGTAGCACATTTCTATGGTATCTCTCCTTTGGATTCTCTGACAAACATTAATATCTGAGCTCAAACAATGCTTTCCCTTAAGGGACATATGCATAGGGCATCAAATCCCTTATAAACATTAGGTGTTAGTTCCTTTAAAAATACTTATTTACACATGGAAGCATTTAAAAGATTGCCTCAAGAATTCTCTAATGTCTACAGAAGGGGATTTTGATTAAAAACTCTTCTTACAGTAACTACCTTTATGCATTTTCCCTCTCATGGAAAGGAGGGAATTGTTCATTATACTGACTATCTCTTCCTCCTGATCTGAAGAGTCTTATTTAAATTATTTGGAGATACAGTGCCCAAAGATGTACACAACAGAATTCAAGACAGAAACAGTATGTAACAATTGGTAAAAATGGACAATTTAACCAAATCATACAAAGAAGAGAACAATTAATGTGTTAAAAAATTCTTAAAAAAGAAAAGGAAAAAAACCCCACAAACTTTCTCAAATTGTATGCAATTATGATAAGTTTTCCTGTACTGATATATTTTTAGAAACCTGAGTTCAAAATAAAAGCAGGTTGGGGTACCTGGGTGGCTCAGTCAGCTAAGTTCCTAACTTGATTTTGGTGCAAGTCATGATCTCAGAGTAGTGGGATGGAGCCCTGAGTCAGGCTCCCCACTGGGCATGGAGCCTGCTTAAGATTCTCTCTCTCCCTCTGTCCCTACCCCACGCCCCTCCTTTTCAAAAAAAAAAAAAAAGAAAGAAAGAAAGAAAACAATAAAAATAAAAAGCAGGTCAAAAGAATCTGCTAAATTCATCATATGAGAAAGTTGAAAAATCTAGTTAATTTATCATAATTTTCTCACTTTTCTGGGTCTGACCATTTAGATGAATAGACCAATGGCTACTTGTGTAGTCAAGTGAAGTGAAGTGAAAATTCTCAGCTCTAGCTAAGTTACTATGTAATTTTGTACTGTTCTGATATGTTCACGCGTATCTTTTCTGAAAATGCAGACCTCAAGACATAACTATAATCTATACATAATAAAATTTAAATCCTTATACATAGTCACAGAGCTTTAACACCAAGCACATTGCCCTAGCTTGCCGATAACGTTTGAAATTTTCTTGAATAGGCACCCAGCAAGTTTCTGATCACCATCCAAAATATTTAGGTCATCATAGGAATGTGCTACATTGCAAATGAATTCTTTTCTCTGAGCTAAAATCTATTTTTTTCAATAAAGCAGGAAACGTACTGCTCCAAACTTCAAATATATATCTCCACCCAAAAGAGTACTTCCTTTCTTTCCTCATCAGTCAAAGTCAAAGTGAGCCTCCTTCATTTTAAGATCAACCTTCCAACTGTGCTCTTTTCCTGGAACTTGCTTTTTTAAATATTCACTCTGTCATAGACCTTCAAAGGATCCTCTTCTACCTATCTTCAGACTTTCTCTCTCTGCTGGGTCATTATCTATAGACTAGAAACAAGCTTATTCTTTTCCTATCCTTTAAATGTCCACCCTTGGCTATACATTACTAATTACTACTCTAATCTTTCCCACTTTACAACCTCAGCTACTTTGTGAGCCTCTAGAGATACACAGCTCAGTCATTTCTGTTGTGAACATGTATCTAGGTTTCCTGCTGCCCAGAATTTGTCTGGAAAATCTAATATTTCATACAGCACAAATACTGGCAGCTAGGGGCACATTCCCACCAATCAAATAGTTCCATTTAGGACTCTGACCATAAAGAGAATTGTACAAAGGAGGAGCTAGCAGGGGCTTCCAGAGTCATCTAGAATTCAGCTGCACCAGACATCCCCACCTAAGGCTTCCCAATAACCTTGTGCTCCCATGGCTTCATGTACCTACCTAACATACAATAGTAACCACTAAAACTGACGCTATGTGCATATCTGCCCCCATCACTAACTAGCCTGTGATGCATTCAAGGCAGAGATCATAACTATTATTTTTAATATATTTGCTTCCTTTAAATATTATTTTAATTTAAAATATATTTAAATATATAATTAATTTAATTATTTTATTTAAAATACACGTAACATAAAATTTACCATTTTGAGTGTACAGCTCAGTGACAGTAGTACTTTCACGTTGTTGGGTAATCATCACCACCATCTAACTTCAGAACACTTCTCACCTTCCCAAACTAAAACTCTATACATATTTAAACAAGAACTCCCCATTACTCCTACCCCTAGTCCCTGGTAACCACCATTCTACCTTCTATCTTGACTCATGTTTATATGGGCAGTTTCTAGCACATCACTCCTTAATGGTATGATCTCAATAACTACAGAACTGAAGGAAATGAGTCTCTTTCTCCTTAAGCATCACATAAAAGAGGAAATTAGAAAAAATTTTAAAGAGCTAAAATTCACATGGAAATATATGTATTATCACTGGAGTTATTAGAAAACTTGAATGATGTATTAGCTGGAATTGTGAGTGTATGGCTATAAAAACTACCATCTTGGCTCTCTAGCTAGCACAAATATCAAGCACTTATATTTTTAAGCTAATAAAATCATCAAACATGAAAAAAAATTCCATGAAAAAGAAATGCATAACAAGCTTTCTCCTCCAATCAAATACCTAAGACCCCTGAGTTGAGTTCATATTTCTTTCAGAATATATGCCCATCCATAACTGCGGTGTCTTGCTACCTTAATCAACAAAACAATAAAAATAATCAACAGGAGGAGCAAAGAGGAAACCTAATAGAGATGAATATTGCATGAAAAACTATATAAAACTGCCTTCTAGAAATGAACATATATACAAAATGAAATGTAGGGATAGGAGAGTTTTCATAATCCACTTCTATATATGGAACGTCTTGCATTTAAAAAAAAATGGGGTTGTAGAAATTTCCAAATTAATTTATTTGGTACTTACAAAACATATAAAAGATGGACCTTAAGGTCATAGGTCTTGAAAGGATTCTTAAATAATGACTCCATATAACAGATGAATAATTTCAAGTCCTCTTTCATCCAGCACTGTATGTTCCAGTTTGCACCTGAATTAAAAATAAACTATATTAAATCTGAAAAACATTCTGAACAACTCAGTGAAAGAGGAGAACTAAATTAAATTTACCAGTGTTCAGACACAACTTTCACTGCCTATTCCGAGAGAAAAAGAGCCAGCTCTAACCAGTGGTATGTATCTGCCCAAGTCACCTAGGCCCTTAGGCCCCTAGTTTCTTTTTGGTAAAGTAAAGGAAGTAAAGTCTCACACTTTTTTTTTAAATCTTGAACTACTTAAGGAGGACAAAGGCCTCAAAAGTCACATGCTTGCTTTCCAACAGAAAAGAACATAGTCAATATCAAGGTACAAGTAAATGTGGAGTGATTTTTATGTATCTGCTTTAGCAATAAAGGCACAGTGATTCAGATGTGAACTAGATGATTCATATCTCAAATTCTTGCTATTGTATTATTATTGGCCCCAAATATAACTGATGCAAGTTTACTTCACTGTGCATGGAAAAACACACCTGATAAAAAATTACTGGTGATTTGTAATTTAAAAGGCAAGAATAGCAACAACTACAAATAATGACTAACTTAATACAACACTAACATATTTCCCCAAACCTGAGGATTTCTAGCTGGTAGGGATTTTACAAAACTGTTGAGCTCTTTTTTTTTTTTTTTTTGTATTATTTTTATTGGAGTTCAATTTGCCAACATATAGCATAACACCCAATGCTCATTCCATCAAGTGCCCCCCTCTTATGAAGTAAACAGCATGCTTGGTAGAATAATCAGTTGAAATCTTCAGTAACTATCACATAATCTGTCAATTTTAGTTACAAAAACTTAAAATCATTAAGAAGTGGCTAGTTATGTAAGTTTTATGTGTAAAATTTAAATCTATAGCATCATAATCATTCCTCTTGAAAACTGAACAAAGTACTAACATTTTTGATCATTTCAAAGCTCGTCACGAAGACCCTGCCTTAAGTTCACTCTTGGTATATTTAATAATTGCTGAAGGCTAAGTTAAGTTCCCCTACAAATTAAAAAAAAGACTCACTTAAAATTAAATGAATTTTATTGATTAATGGCCATAGACTCAGTTGGAGACACTAGGAGTTACTACTAACTTGTTTTAAAACTCTAATTATGTATTTATGCTTTATTCTTATCCCCAAGCTGATTTCAATAAATTGGAGTATTTCTTCCATCTAATTAGTAATGCTCAACCAAGGGCAGTTTGACCCTCAGGAGCATCTGGTAATGTTTGGAGATAACGTTTTGGGGAAGGAGCTACTGGCATCTAGTAGGTAGAAGCCAGGGATATTGCTAAACATCCTACAATGCACAGAACAACCCCCCATAATCAAGAATTGTCTGGGCCAAAATGTTAATAATGTTGAGATTGAGAAATTCTGATTAACCCTTTATAGGAGTGCTATATTTATGTGTGCCTTTATTTTCATACTGTAGGTCTCTTTGTATTATTGAATCAATTGACTGCTCCATTAGCTTTTCCAGAAGGCTTGGGAATGATTTCGTGGTTTTGATTTCCAGATACAGAATTATTAATGGCACTAGCTACATTCAGTATGCATTATACTTAAACAGCAAAATCCCCTTGATTTAAAGTACATAATTGGCTACAGAGAGATTTCTTGCTTGAACAAATATTATTTATAAGTACTTTAAAATTTAATTAATTCAACAGTTGAATTTTTTAAGATTTTATTTATTGAGAGAGGGAAAGGGGGAGAGAGAGAGAGAGAGAGAGAGAACACGAGGAGCCAGGGATGAGGGAGGGGTAAGGGGAGAGAGAGAAGCAGACACCCTACTGATCCCGGCTCAATCTCAGGACCCTGGGATCATGGCCCAAGGTGAAGGCAGATGCTTAACCGAGAGCTACCCATGCACCCCCAATATTCATGTGTTGAATATTTTATCTATCCAACAAAATAAGGTGTGCTTTTTCTATTTTAAAGCAAATTCAGAAGATTACAAGAAATGGATTTATGGGTAAAAGAGTTCCCTCATTGCATTTTTATAAGATGTAAAAAAATTCAGGGCTCATTGGTTTTGTCACATGATAAATAATAACTTTATTACTAACATAAAATGATGATATGTGTTAAGAATCCCATCCATATGACATCTATTTCATACAGGATTCAGAGAATGAAAACATTTTGTTTAAAATAGTTAAATAATAGCTAATGCTTGGAACATTAAAATACTTACCTGTTTGTTGAAAAACTAAAGAATTCACTGTTGAAACAAATGCCTTCCCTTCCTTGTTGTCTGCATGGACAGAACAGTTTTTATCTTCCTTGCTCCAGAAGCAACAGTGGAAAGTTGTTTTGGAAGATAAATTAGAAATGTAGGTACTACTTGAATTTAATTTAGCTTCAACAACTGCCTCATAATGTTCATTCAAATTGGAAGTGTTCCTTGAGATTCCAGTAGGCAAAAGGAAGTCATAGGTTGTATTTGGTGGCATGCAAGACAACTTAAATCTCCAGGGAGTAATTGGATATGCCAAGTTAAATGCAGTTGTCAAATAAATGAATTCTGTTGGGATATTAAAAAAGATACATAGAAAAACAATCATTTTGACTAAGACGTAAATAGGAAGTAGCTAAGATTAAGCCATGTGTACTCAACAGTAATTATTTACCTTTCTAAGTGCTCAATCTGTGCATAATGCAGAGCTTCTATTACACAATGTGTTATACTTGAAAGGATCCATTAATTTATGGAGAAAAACCTTACTCTTTAACACTTCTTTTTGAAAATTCATGCTTCATTTTCCTCATTAATCTAGCATTCTGTTTATATTTTAATTAAGAATATAGCAATTACTTTTTCTAAAAAAGATTATTCTAATAAACTTTCAGTAAAAGTGGAAATATCTAGATGTGCAATTTTTTATTTTTTTTAATTTTTTTAGATGTGCAATTTTATAAACAAATATTAAAGTATTGTTTTAATATTTCTTAAAGAAATTATACCAATATTTTAGCACGATGAGAGCTTTTAGAAAGGGTTTTTCTTCAACATCAATACAGTTGGATGTAAATAAAAAAAAAAAAAAAACAATACAGTTGGATGATCTCTTGAATCTGCCCATGATCCTTAGATATATGACACTGTATAAGACATGTGCTTAATGCACTCTCCAAGAATCAATATACAATGACAGGAAAATTCTATTGCTTATTACAGACAATTCTCACTTTTTAGACATGCAAAAATTAAGAATAATTATATAATCTTGTACTCCAAAAAATTCTCAAAAGTGGTAGTTGGTTTTTAATAAGTAATTGTTTGAAAATAAAATAATAATTAATTCTCAATAATTCTTTCTTTTACAAGCTACTCATACTATTCAACAGTTGTGTTGCCTCATATACAAACCAATGTAGAATGAGAATTCTGAGAATTTAGCATGTATTTGCATGGAATGAGAATTTTGAAGAATTAGAGTAAATTTAAGAAAATAGCAATTAAAAAATAATTCACAAAAAAAGTTTTAAATTATAAAAGTAATATATGTAAAAATATCTAAATATGTAATGACTGTTAAAGTTTGATTTCTAAACTTTTCCATAATAAAAAACTAACGTAAAAATGTACCAGATGCAAAAATTAAATCAAACGTGACTAACACAACTAATATTATTTTGCCCACACTGATAACAATTAGGTATCATAATATCACTAAAAGTGACTCTTCATTACAATTGTGTTCCTTTGGACTTCATCTTTCTAACATATGCTTCTGAAATTATAACATCTCAATAAAAATAGGTTATTTCTTGGGTTTTGCAAAACTATGAATATTTGTTGGTATTAATTAAAAGCACATTTTCTAGGTGCACATGGAAGATTCAGTCCTCTGAACTGAAATAAGCCTAAAACCCTCAAAGTATTTGAAATTTTAAATGTAACAACAAATGTCACAGACATAGATATAGATGCCTACAAGAAGGAAGAACAGTATGCAGAACAAGGAAGACTTGTAGAGAAGCTCCTAAGAGTACTTTCAAATTGGATTAGCCAAGGAGATGCTTAGAACTAGGTGACCCAGAGGCAGACAGCTGCATTATCTCCCAATATGATTGCCAGATAAAATGGGTTTTGTTAAAAATAAATCGGTTTTGTTAAAAATTTTTGTTAAAAATAGCCTGTTTTAATTTTAAAAACTTGAAACATAACCTAAATTAGATGATTTGAGGGTTTTTTAAATCAGAGTATCTTTAGAATGCAGTAAGAAACAAGTGAGAATAGTATGCTCAAAAGTCACTGGCACTAATTTCAAACAGAAGCATGCTATGGTTCACAGTAGTTAAAATAATGACATTTTAAAAAACCTCTGTAAGCTTTCTCTTGAGGATATACTCCTGCAATGGGTAGGAAGAAGTCTAGTACACACTTAATTCTTCTTCTAGTGGTATTCAAGATGGAAATTTTCAATGTAAACACCATTCCTTGATAATATCCCCTTATAGCATTATACTTGTCATTGTGTACCAGAGTTATAATGTGGAATAGCACTTAAAACGGCATCTCCCTTCCATGTGAGAATAAACTCATTATTTTGTGTCATAGCCATATGTTTTAAATATTATCACCAAGTAAACTGCTTCTTGATATAGAAATTTAAAGCTTTACTACCAATCCGATATCTATATATACATTTGTAATTTAATGCTGCTACATTTACTAAATTAAAATTAAAACATTTAAGTGTCACTGTATCTTATTTCTACACATGTGTTGGTGTGCGTACATAAATGTTCTGTATTGTAAAAGAAAACAAAGTTAAATAACAGACAATGGGCAGGAAGAAAAAATTTGCAAAACATAATAAATCGTTAAGGGCTTATGATGATCAAGGTTATGTGTCAACTTGTCTAAGTCCATGGAACGTTCGCTCATTTGGTCAAACATTAGTTTGTTGTGTATCTGTGAGGACGTTGTGGATGACCTTAACATTAACATCAGTCTTTTCTTTCCTTTGGACTTTCCTTTCCTTTCCTTTTCTTCAGATTCAAACTAAAACATCAGGTCTCCTGGGTATCCAGCCTACCAACCGCACATCATGGGACTTTTTCACCTCCACAATCTTGTGAGCGACGTCCTTATAATAAATCTCTCTCTCTCTCCCTCTCTGTCTCTCTCTGTCTCTCTGTCTCTCTCTCTCCCTGTCTCTAAATCCTACTGATTCTGTTTCCTGGAGAATCCGGACTAATACAGAACTAAATATCAGGTACATTTTAGAAATTTCTAAAACTCACTATGATAAAATACAACAACAAAATGATCAAAGTATATGATTTAGAAAATCTCATAAGAAATATAAATGGTCAATAAACAGTGCTCAACCTCACAAATAATCAAATAAATAAAACTGAAAAGAGATGTGTCATGTTTGCCTTATCTGATAGGGCAAAGAGGTAAAAGAATGATAATATACATCTTTGACAGAAATGCAATCGGATAGCATTCATATATTTGTGTTAGTACTGCAAATAGTACCAAGCTTTGTGGAGAAGATTTCACAGTACCTATCGAATTTTTAAATGTTCATACTATTTAACATAGAACTTCCTCCTTAATAATTAATCAACAGGACTATTCTCCCAAATATATAAAGATATATGTATATGGATTTCAATTATTTGTTACAGAAAAAGAAATGTCTATCAATGGGGAGTTGGTCAAATAGATTAATAAATTAAGGCATATTCATACAGTTCATTGTTATGCGACCATTAAATGAATAAGTGTATCAGTAAGTACTCAGTAAAAAAAAAAAAGCCATCATGATAAATTGAAAAACTATTAAGCAGAAAAACACAGAACAATGTGTATAGACCAATTCTATTTTTGCAACCATAGATACGAATTGCGTGTGTTTCTGTGTGTTATAGTTCTGGAAAGCTACACATCAGGTTGTTCCCAGGAGACTGGGAAGGGTTTTCATTTTCATACTTAACACTTTTGTTTGATTTGTGTTTTTGATAATGAGCATGAGAATTCCTAACTGTAAACAAGGAAAATTCTGCTAACCAATAAAAGAAACAGCACATCTCTAAGGGCAAAATCTCTTATACATGGACATTTAGAAAGCAAATTACTTACCCCAATGTAACAAAGCCACACAGAATTTTTGACAAGTCATCTTACTTCAGAGAAGTAGACCTGAAAAATAGTACATCCAAAACAAATACACACACACGCACACAAAAAAAACAACAACTGACATCTATACAAGCTGTCTGGGAAAATATAAAATGAAAAGGATTATGAATAAGTCTTTAAATTTTAAACCTCTATAATACTCTGCATCAATATGAGAGAAGTACCTCATGTTAAAGTACAACTATACATTATAGGTTTAGTCCTGTGTACATGCTATCTTACACAGTTAAGATATAAACCACATATTCACATATGGCATATTCAAAAAAGTTTTTTTAAGATTTTATTTATTTATTCATGAGAGACAGAGAGAGAGAGAGAGAGAGGGAGGCAGAGACACAGGCAGAGGGAGAAGCAGGCTCCATGCAGGGAGCCTGATGTGGGACTCAATCCCGGGTCTCCAGGATCATGCCCTGAGCTGAAGGCGGCGCTAAACCACTGAGCCACCCTGGCTGCCCTCAAAAAAGTTGTAATGTTCCTTCATGCCATTACAAACCGGGACAGGCATCATAAGATAAGACTGAATTTTTAACTCAACAAAGTATTCATAATGTTGATTAAATATGTACAATCTAATATTAAATTTTTTCATATTCAGGGTTTTTTAATTTTTTTAAGATTTTTATTTATTTATTCATGAAACACAGAGAGAGAGGCAGAGACACAGGCAGAGGGAGAAACAGGCCCCATGCAGGGAGCCCGATGTGGCACTCGATTCCGGGTCTCCAGGATCACGCCCTGGGCCAAAGGCAGGCACTAAACTGCTGAGCCACCCAGGGATCCTCATTTTCAGTTCTTAAATTTCTCTTTATTTTCTAAAGCCTTTATCTTTACTGTGATATTACAAAGCCAAACAGTTATAGTATAGGTAATGATTGTAAATTTATTTCTAAGGAAGAGGAGGAAACTTTCCCGTATGCTTTTGGAAACCCCCACTGTTTATTTGCAGATGCAGTAATATTCACATTGGAGAGTTATCAGAGTAATCTAAGGAAAGGCTGATGGCTTAATATATCCAAATGATAGGGAGCTCTAAGAGACCAGCTTTCCCATGAAGTCGACTCAATTTAAAATTCATCATGAGTAAGATTATTTGTACTAGTACACCATGAATTAGAATGGTAGCATAATTTTAATATATTGGGCTCCAATCTGTAATGAAACCCTAAAGGCTTTTGTTGTTCCAGTGTTTTTAGTTATCTCAGATTGGGGATTCAGGTCACTACGCAAAAGTTAATCTGAGGTTAAAAAAAAAAAACTCTGAATTAGGTGTCAGAAGTCTTGAGTGTCAATCTAGACTCTTCAATTAATCAGCTATAGGACTCGGGATTTGAATGCTCTAGACCTCAGGTTTCTCACATGCAAATCCCCCTAGTAGATGAGCTCTACAATCCCTTTCAGAGCTTCCTATGATTCTGAGCGATTTTATTTTAAAACAGAAGTCACAGCTTTACCACAAAGAATATTATATAATATTAAGTGAGAAATATGTACTATAAGTCATATCTGAGAACTGGTACCATGTGATAAACAGAAAAACATGTTTGTTTAGTTCACAACTTAACACTCAGGAAGAAAATGTATGAGTATAAACATTTTGTAGTCTGGCAAATTTGTTCTTCAGCCTCTCAGTTTCTCATCAGAAGTTTTTAGTTCTTTATATCCTGGTATCACAATGTTTCTTTAGGATTTCTAAAAAATCAGTTTGGTCTTTGAAATCTTCATTATTTAATGAGATGAATTTTTTGATATCTGTTTCTGACACAAAATTCTTTATGCTACCTAGTTCTGATACAAAATTTTCTCATAAGGGGAGGTCAGTGGGGGGGATGGGTAAAATAAGTGATGGGGATTAAGAGGTGCACTGGTTGTATGAGCACTGGTTGTTGTATGGAAGTGTTGAATCACTCCATTCTACATTTGAAACTAATATTACACTGTATGTTAAGTAACTAGAATTTAAATAAAAACTCTTTTAAAAGTCTTATAAAATAAACCTAAGTGTAAGTTTCATAATCAGGATGTGTCATAGATAAAATATTTCATTAGACTAAGTGTTTTTGAATGAATCAACTGGTGACAAGTAATTCAGTCCAACAATTGGTTTGACTCAGTTTTAACTCAACTAATCTGCTGAGTCAAATGACCAAATAGATCAGTTGTTTTTGCTTATATAAGACAAGTATTCTTTTATTTAATGTTCCATGCAAACACCAACTATTCTTATGGTTTGAATTCTTGCAGGCAGGTTTCACTCTTACATAGCAGAGAAACAATCACAAAAATGAAAAGGGCATAGACACAACCTTGAAGAGAGTGTAAAATGTGGTCCTACATAGATTCAATGAGACAAATATTTATATGACCCTCCATTGTAGCAGAAAGGAATACAAAAGGGGGTTTATGAAAATACAAATACTATCAAAAAGAAAGGGAGAGAAATTTTTAAGCTGTGAGGGAAAAAATTAAGCAAAGTGAAAACTAATGGTAAGACGACCAAAACATGTGTAATATACAAAATGCCATTAATTTGAATTCACTTTGTAAAGACGGACTATTAATTTCCTTTTTACTTCCTTATGTCAAATTGTTCAATTATAAATTCAGAGTACTTTTAAAATAAAATGAAACCAAAAGGTTGGGGAAATATTCAAATAATCCTGACACTAAAAACAGAAAAGAAATTTTGTCTCAGTAACTTCAAAACAGGTAATATCCTCATGAATATCCTAACAGTACCAGAGTTTCATGGGAACGTCAAAGCTCAAAAGTTTCTCAACCCCTCCACTACCAATATCCTATTCTAAGTCACCATTATCTCCTCTCTAGACAGTCAGAAGAGCCTCCTAACTGATCTCCCTGCTCCAGCCCTTACTCTCCAGTTCATTCTATTCAGTGCAGCAGCCAGAGTGGGCTAGATCATGTCTGTCTTGCCCAAAACACTGCAGTACTCTCCTTTTCATTCTAAGTAACAGCCTGAGTCCTGCACAGAACTACAAGGTCCTGGATCTCTATTGTCCCTCTGAACTCATCAACCATTGTTCTTGCATTTGTTCAAGCCCCTTTCTCAGAGCCTTTCCTGACTAGCCCATCTAAAATTTCAACACCTTCCCTACCCTGACATGTCATATCTGATGTTTTGCTGAATTTTCTCCTTATTACTTCGTACTATCTAATGTGAATATGACTTCTTGTTTTGTTTTTTTGCTTTTTTTGTTTTGTTTTGCTTATTGTCTAACTCTCCCCATTAGAATGTAAATGCCACTAGACCAAGGGATTTTTTTTTTTTTTGCTATTTCCTTTTCATCATTATATCCTTCATACATAGAAGCCTGCCTCTCACATACTAGGTGCTCTCTATACATTAACTGAATGAGTGACTAAATGAATGGCATAATATGACTCTTTCCTGAAATATTCTTCAAAATAGGCCAGTGGCATCATACCAAGAAAGTAACAATAATCTTCAAAAGATGCATTCTATGGATAACAGAGATGTCACACTCACACACACACACACACACACACACACACACACTGAGGAATATTATGCAGCCATAAAAATGATATCTTGCCATTTGTGACAACATGGATGGACAACTGTGAAAGACAAATATCATGTGATTTCACTCATATGTGGAATCTTAAAAAACCAAAATGAATAAACAGAAAGCAGAATCACACCTATAAATACAGAGAACAAAGGGATGGTTGCTAGGGTGGAGGTGAGAGAGAGAGGCAAAATGGGTGAAGGAAAGGAGGAGATACAGGCATGGGAATAAAAGTCATAGCATAAGGAATATAGACAATGATATTGTAATGTGTTGTATGGTGACAGATGGTAGGTACACTAGTGGCAAACATACCATAATGTATAAACTTGTCAAATCACTATGTTGTACACCCAAAACTAATGTAATATTGTATGTCAACTATACTCAAATTTAAAAATTGTTTTAAAGGAGTCATTCTAATATAACCCATCATAGAGAGTCATATTTAATTCCAGAGAGAATTTCAGAATGGTGATTCATAACCACTTTTTTAAATGATTCATTTATTTAAAAAGAGAACTCAAATGCATACAAGGGGGAGGAGCAGTGGGAGAGGGCAAGAAAATCTCCAATTCTTAATCTTTTTTTTTTTAAGATTTATTTATTCATTTGAGAGAGAGAGAGCAGAGGAGGGGCAGAGGGAAAGAGAGAATCCTGAAGCAGACTCCCCACTAAGCAGGCAGCCTGACACAGGGCTCAATCTCACAGCCCTGAGATCACAACCTGAGCTAAATCAAGTCAGCCACCCAGTTGCCCCTTTAACCATTTTTAAAGATGGATCTTGTTGGGGTGCCTGAGTGGTTCAGTTGGTTAAGCATCAGTCTCTTGATTTCTGCCCAGGTCATGACCTCAGGGTCATGAGATCCAGCTCCACACTCAGCACAGAGTCTGCTTAGGATTCTCTCCTTCTGCCCCGCCCCCATTCACATCTGTTCCCTCTCCCTCTCTCGCTCTCAAATAAATAAGTAAAATCTTTTTTAAAAATAAAAAATAAATAAATATGGTTATTGTTGAGAATTTGTTAAAAGCAAGGGACCAACTGCCAAAAGGAGATGCATATACCCAAAATTAGGGCTATAATTTCAGGGGGTTAACAAACTCTCTGAAATTTATCCAAAGTTCCCAGATTAAAGGATCCTGATATACATAAATAAATGGAGTTCACATTGCTCAGGCAATTCCTCCTGAGGAACCCAGTAAGTAGAGCTCCTATGATTGATCCATTGATAGACACCAAGCCATGAGGAGTTTGAGATAATATTGCCTAACATTCCTCCTGGAATGTAGTCATTCTATGTTGACAGTTACAATGAATAATGTATTTTATTTGAAATATTCATAAAATATACAAAGATTTATCCATAGACTAATCTAAATGATCCATCCATAACACTTTGATGTGCAGCCAATTCGATTTTCATAACATGCCAGAGTAGGCATATTAAA